CACCGGGGTGCGCGGTGCCCCCCCCCCCATCCACCCAGGAGAAGGGTGCCCCTGCCAGGGGGGCGCAGGCTGGGTGTGCAGTGCTCCCCCTGCAACAGCCCCGTGTCCCTGTTTGCAGCTGGGGCCACCATACGGCTGCCACACGCTTGTCACATGGTGTTAAAAATATGACAGAAATGGCTTTTGGGGCTGATTTGCAAGCAGGGTTTCGGGTTGGTGCAGTGATGCAGGTGCTGCCGCTGGACTCCTCCCCACCGGTGCTGCGAGCCTTATCTCTGCTCCCCACCCGGGCGCTGCTCATCGCTTATTGGGGACGCCCCGCTCGCTGCTGCTCCTGAAAATCCCCGTTGGCGCAAGGTCCTGCCCATGCATGGCTGGGCTGGGCAGCTTGCGAGGGCAGCGCTGGTGTGGGAGCTGCTGGGAGGAGGCAGAGCTGTGCCCACCCCAGCCTCTTGCAGCTTGAGCTGCAAACTGCATTTTTTTTTTATGTAAAAGCTCCAAAATACATCGCTTGTAGCCCATGGGGGGTGGCAGCTCTTTTGAAGGTGTGGGGCAGTGGTGCGGGGTAGCGGTGGTTGCAGGAGTGGCTGTTTTGTCCCTGAGCATGCAGCTGTGGTCCAGGCACATTGCTCAGCATCCCTGGGGGGCTGCGCTGGCCCCCAGTGTGACCCAGCTGAGCTGACGATGCCGGGCTGTGCCTGTGCCGAGTGCTTCCTGCAGCTGATCACCGAGGGCTTCCGTGGGCAGGTTCTGCCTACTCCTGTGTCCTGCCTGCTCATGGTGGGGTGAGCTCTCTGGGCTGTGCCAGCCCCTCTTGAGCAGATTTGGGGGTCACATGCTTGGGGATCCTCACTAGGTGAGCTCTGCCATTGCTGTGTGGGTCATGCACACCCAGGAGGGCTTGGCAAAGCCACACGCTGGACCCTGCACCCCCGATGCCACCCTGCCCAAGCCCCAGAGGGATTGGCTCCATCAAATGGGCAGGGGAGAAAAAAATGCTGTCTGGTGGTCATCCAGGGATGTCACAGAGCAGGGACAAAGCCCAGGGGAGGCGTGGGTGGCATTGGAAAGGCTGTGTTGGACCCCAGCCCATGCCAAGCATTGCTCTGTGTCCTCCTTGGCCCTGTTAAGGGGCAGAACTCCAAATTCCCAGTGCTCCTGCTGGGGATGGTGCTGAGCTGAGCTGTGTGTGGTTGAAAGGGGTGAGCGATCCAGGGCTTGTGGCTGCTGGACTCGGGAGCTGCATCCTTCCCTCCCGTGAGTGCTCTGGGGCTTTACCCCCCTGCCAGCTGGGAGGCAGAGGTACAAACCAGACGCAGCCAGCGGGTTTTGTGGCCTCCTGGTGCCATCTGCTGTTGATTGCCCCGGGCAGAGCCGTGCTGGGCTTACCGGTGCAGCCTGCTCCTCTGGAGCAAGCTGGAGATAATGGCAGGGAAATGCCCTTTCCTCCCCAGCAATGGGCCCCGGCCGCCCCTTGGAACAGGCTTTCTGGTAGGGATCAGCAACACAACACGGGCAGGCACTGGCTTATCCTGCCTGCTGCAGGCTCATCCCTGCCCTACCCAGGCTGGCACCCAGCGCCCTGCCAGCCTGCCCCAGGAGTCCCTGGCCGTGTGCCAAAGGCTGCTGCCAGGTCATGGTGACGTAGCTGGAGAGAGGTGTCCTGTGGGCAGCAGAGCCTGGGTGCTGCTCCACTCCTGGGGCTGCGTGTGGGCTGGGGGCTTCAGGATGGGTGCAGCCCTGGGTGGGGTGTGGAGGGGCAGCGCTGTGGCTGGGCAGGGGCTTCTTGTCCCCGGGGGGGAAACAAGGAGCCTCCCAATAGCAGAGGTGATTGTGGCCCCCCTGGGGCCATTGCTGGCCCACGGGCGTCCTGAGCCAGGAGATGGGTTGGGGTTTTGCCAACACGGGGACGGACACTCCTGCCCCCGTGTGCTGTCAAGACACCCTGGATGGCTCTGCCACGCAGCACGTGGGCTTCGCTTCCTCTTGAGATTTCTTTGTGTGGACACCGATACCTGCCCTGGCGTGGGACTACGATCCAGCCTGGCCAGGCAGCCTCCCAGAGCCACCTCCTCCCCTGCTCCTGCTCCCAGGGCTGCTGCCACCCATGCCCAGTGCTCTGCCCGTGTCTGCTGTGGGTCCCTGGGATCACAGGGCGGTTTCTGTTTAGCTTGAAGCCATGCAGGGAGGTTCCTTCAGTGGTCCTGGGCTGGTGCATGCTGGCACCTCACATGTGGGGCAGGCTTGAAGGTCTCTCTTCTACCAAGAGGTTTGCTTTATTCCTACCTGTGGGGTTTTAACCTGGGCTTCAGATGTCCCTGGACGTTCTTCTTGGACAACTTCTCCCTGGCGGTCCTTCATCCCCTCTGCCAGAGCCACCTCCTGATGAGCAAAGTACTGAGCCCATGGCATGCTCCTGGTAACCTCCAGGGCAAAATGGATTCTTGCCTACTGATTTCTGACAAGGGGACCTTTGTGCTTCTCCCCAAGATGGCTTATTTGAGCCTGATCAAAACCCTTCTGAGAGCCCGAGTCTGCTCTGTCAGCTGGATTAGCCTTCCCAGCAATCCAGCAGGCTGCACCGAGTCCCCGTAAGCAGCTTTGCAGCATGTGGAGGGCTTGGTTTGTGCAGGTTGTGGGTGAGTGTGAGCTCCCAGGTCCCACGCGTGGCTCCTTTCTGGGGACAGCTTGCCAAAGCATTCGGGCAGCACCTGGAGATGTGTCCTGCTCTGGGAGACTCGCTCTCGGTTTGCAGAAGGGGTGGCCAGGTATAAACTGGATTAAGTGGCACTTGGCTGGTGCAGGCTTGGCTTTGCTGGCCAAGGCTAACGCTGCAGAGCAATCGGATGATATCCCGGAAGAGCTATTTCTTCAGCTGGAAGGAGCTGCTTTTATTTTGCTTGATGCAGAACAAAAAAGCGAGCACCAGGCACTGCTTTGAATGCCCCCCTCTGTGTTGAAGGGCTGGGTTCCGTCATGGGGCCAGAATGCTGCTGGAAAGGGTGTGTTTGTCTTTGGGAACACAAACCCCTTCCGATTCAGGGGTGCTGTTTGCTGATTTAGCGGTGTGCATTCACCCTGGGTAGGTCGGAGGAGGCTTTGCTCCCTGCCATGTGTCCCCAGCATCTCAGCTGTTGGATGCAAGCTGTGCTCTGGGGTTCAGGGCTGTCCCGCTGTGCTGTGGCTGGGACTGCCTGCAGGACCTGTCTCTCCTGACATCTCCTCAGAGTCCCCGCAGCATGTCCAGCTGGAGCCTTCCCCAGCACTGTGCTGCCTGCTCCGAGGGGACCTTCCATCCCCCAGGGGCTCTGCTACCGTAGCTGAGCCCTGGTGAATGAGGTCTCCTCCTTCTTTTCCTCCATGCGCTGTATTCGGGCCCAGAAAGCTTCTTGACCTGTCCTCTGGGTAGAATCACAGAATCATTTGGGTTGGAAAAGCCTTTTAAACTCACCAAGCCCAACTGTTCCCCTAACCCTGCCATCCCACCACTAA